CTCTCTCTCTCTCTCTCTCTCTCTCTCTCTCTCTCTCTCAAATCAAGCAGCTGCAATGGAGGCTGCAGACTATAATACCTAAGAATTTTCCAGAAGGATTATATGATGTATGGAGAAATGCCAAGAGATAATTTTATGCAATTTAGGTGGAAAGAGACTATGAGAAAAAAAAAGAATAACAGAGGAGAATTCTGGGGAACAATGTATGACATCATCAAGCTGAACAGAAGTTCCAATTTAGATAATATTTTTGAATTCTGTGTTGGTCAGATTAAAACTCCAGCTGTGTTTGGTTTCTGAATATCCTGATGGGATTTCAAAATTCGTTAATCAGAGAGAAGACTTGACTGTCCCCTGTTCCCCATTACAATTGGTACTTTGCAAACCCTTCACAGTGAACGTGATGCTAGAACATGACAAGCTGTGCTCTGGGGTCCCTAGGATGACAATAGCAGCTCTGGAGTAACTATTGAGAGGTTATTTAGAGGCAACATGGCTGGCAGTGGAATGCTGAGGCTTGTTTGAAGTTATATGTATGTAGAAGCATTGTGTCCTAGCTTTTGGAGGCTGATCACTTCCACACATCGGTCGTCATTCACTCTCCGGTTTCTAAAACCAAGTCAAAGAATCTGCTCCTCAGGCTGGTTCTGATGTGTGTGTATACATTTGTGTGCTCTGTAACTCTCACAGTTCATTACTAAAGTAGTAATCATGAGCTATTTAGAAACATTACAACCTGGGGTGAAGTAATCTTCACTTTCCTATTACCCTGTATGAGCTTATTTCCTATATGTTCTGACTTAGTCAGGGCTCTATAGAGATACAGAGCCAATGGAATGCATATGTGTGCATTCTAATGATGTGGGATTCCCCTATGTATACTGTGAATAATATTGGTTAAAAAAGAAACTGTCTATGGCCTGCACAGAGAAGAATAGGGTAGATGGGGAAAACTAAACTGAATGCTGGGGAGAGAGAGAGGCAGAGTCAGAGAGACACCATATAGCTGCCCAAGGAGACAAACGTTGGAAACTTACTGATAGGCCACAACCTTATGATGATACATAGATTAATAGAAATGGATTAATTTAAGATGTAAAAGCTAGCTAGATGTAGAGCTTACACCATTAGCCAAACAATGTTGTAATTAAAACAGTTTTTATATGATTATTTGGGTTTGGGCAGCCAGGAAATGAACAAGCAGTCGCCATTTTAAAAAAAAGACTAGAAACCATGAACAAAACTTAATTAGAAAAAAAAATGATCAATAAGTGTGTGTTGCCTCAAAGAGTAACAATGATAGAATTTATGCTGGCAAGACCTGCCAACAATCCCTTTGACCAAATAATCCCTCAAGGTGACAGGAGAGAGCCATCAGTTATCTTCTGACTTCCATACATCTGCACTGCACATAACACTTCTGTGAGTGTACACGCACACACGCGCACCGACATACTTATATAAAAATAAGCAAATAAATAAATGAATAAGCACTTTGAAAATTGGACGAGGTATTTTCCAAAATGGTCCCTGTTTTCTTGATGATGATAATGATGATGATGATTTGCATATGTGGAGAAGGTATATGTGAGTATCAGGGGAAACCAGAGGCATTGGATGACCCAGAGCTAGAGACACACACACACACACACACACACACACACAAAAAAAAAAAAAAAAGAGTCGATTGCTGCTCAACTTGGTTACTGAGAACCCAGCTCTGATCCTCTGCATGAGCAGTTTTTACTCTTAGCTCTAAACCAGATTTCTGCCTAAAGAATTTCCCCAGAAGAAACCTTTATGTTTCAGGAAAGACAGGGGAGCAGGACAAAGGTATGTAAGGTCACTGAAACAGTACACTAAGATACTAAGAAGGCGAGAGTTACATAGCAAAAGAGCTAAGTGGCGAGTCACTTGTATCTGCTGCCATCTCTGAGCTTTGCATTTATAGTGTGCAGAGAGCTGTTAAGGAGATAAAAGTAAATGATGTCTAGACCTCAAACTGCTCCAGAAGGTATCAAAGCACCAACCTGTCAGAGTTGAGAGACACTCCCATAAAACAAAGACACAGACTTGATACAGAAAATGTCTTGGAAGTGGTTCAAAAACCACTAGCTACTCTCAGTACAACAGCAAGAATTGGAATACAGAAAAAAAAAATAAAGGGGAAAAAGCAAGGAAGAACAGGAATGGACAACTGGAGAAAAAGAGGAAAAAGAAAAGGAAAAAACAAGAGAAGAAAAAAGGCAAGCCTCAATTAAACCAAACTAAATTAAATTTGTGTCTTTCCTTCTAAATCAAACACCATCTCTACAGAGTAAAACTGTTTGCTAATCCTAACCCTAACCTCAGGGTCAGGATGATAACAGAGTGTTAGATTCATAGATACATATACACATGCATACATTATAGATATGCTTGTGTGGGTTATATATTATATATTTGTGTGTGTTACAAATAAGTTATATATGCATATGTGTGTGTGTCAGTGTGTGTACAGACTACTCTGTTACCTAAGCCAGAGAAACATGAAAAAAATTTGCTATAAATATCATTGATAAACATAGAAAAGTCTTAGGAAAATATCACTAAACTGAATCCAACAACAGAAAAGCAATAAGATATCATGACCAATTGTGATTTGGCTCAGAGAAGCCCATGTGCCAACCGTTCTATCTCCACTTCAAGATTAGGAAAGACAAGGAGAGACCCCCTTCCACCCTAGACCATGGCCAAGTTCGTCGTAACTTCGCGGAGAAGGCCCCGGGGCTAGTATCAGCTGCTGTAACTTACTCGAAGCCTCGATTGGCCACACTTTGGCAATACGCCAAGGATGAGCTGGTTCCCCCAACCCCTGCTGAACTCCCTGCAGCTATTCAGAGTGCGAAAAAAATAATTCAAAGTGCTAAAACTGGTAGCTTCAAACATCTTACGGTTAAGGAAGCTGTGCTGAATGGTTTGGTGGCCACTGAGGTGTGGATGTGGTTTTATGTCGGAGAGATCATAGGCAAACGTGGCATCGTTGGCTATGATGTGTGAAGACTGACCTTCACATCTGATTTTATTTGAGTTCTTTCAATATTCTTGGACCACATGTAATGAGACTGCTATCTGAATAAAATACCAACTGTCAAATTAAAAAAAAAAGACAAGGAGATCTCTTCACTACTCGTAATCAGCATTATACTCAAGTTTTCGGCAAGTGTAATGAGGCAATAAGAAAAATGACTATGCAAATTTGAAAGGATTAATGTATGTATCTTTATTCCCAAATGGCATGATTATTTGCATAGATAACCATGAGGATTCTATATCAAAACTATTATAACCAGCCCATTAAGTATGATGTCAGCTATAATACCACAGCAGTTTGAAGAAATTCTCTTGTATTTCTACTCTTTGAAAGTTATTTCAAGAGCAAATTGGTGTTGAATTTTCTAAGTGGCTATTCTGGACAATTGAAATTATTGTGTAATTATAGTTTGATTATATAATGGGTTACATTGCTTAATTAATAAATGTTGAAGCAACTTTGAATTTCTGAGACTGTTCCCAGTTGGATATGGCTTGGGACAGT